TTCATCTACAGATGACCTAAATCCCTTAATCATATCAATTGTTGAACTGATCAGAAAAAGAAACCTTTCATCCCTTAGCAGATGGAAAAGGAGATGTCTTAAAAAAGATATGGTTTATCTTGCAAACGTAAGACAATGGCATAACCAGTATAATTTCAAAAATGCAGCAGTGTTTTCAAAGGTTCAGTAAGTGCAACTTTTTTGGCTATATTTGAATGAATGAATGAATTCCTAACTCGATGAGATCAGTTATAGCAAGTGTAATTTTGTGGTTAAAAACAGAACCAAATTGCAGTCTCTTACTTTTGCCACAAAAACAAGGTCTATAAAAGGGATAGCAGTCAAGCAGCTTCAGCATTACTTCATATATGGAATAGCTGAGAGTTTAGTGGATGAATTGGGCAATGTTTCATGGTCTGAGTCATTTGCCTGGAATCCCTACATAACCTGAAGAGAAACAAGTAGCATGAAACTGTACAGACAAGAGTGAACTAGATTTGCAATCTTTCCTCTCCCCAACCAAGAAGTTTGAAGAGCTTAAGAGAATTAGCAAAACAAAAGCAAATAGGCAAGATTCATCAGCATATGGAAATGGCATGGTCTCAATTTATCAGTGGTAAAAATAAAGTCTTGCACTTAATGCAGTCCCTTCATGACCACTGGTTGTTTCAAAGCACTCTAATGCCAATGGATCGTTTTTCTTTTGCAGTTAGTCACTGTTGAAAACCGTCAATGAGAAGGCAATGGCTTAGTGGTATTATTGCTGGACTATTAATTCAGAGACTCTAGCAATGTTCTGGGGGGGTGTCTTGGTTCAAATCCTGCCATGGCAGAATTCAATAAACATCTGGAATTACGAACAATTGCTGATTGTCAGGAAAAGTGCATCTAGTTCACTGATGTCCTTTAGGGAAGAAAATTATCATCCTTACCTGGTCTGGCCTACATGTGACTCCAGATCCAGAGCAATGTTTTGACTCTTAGCTACTCTCTGGGCAATTAGGGATGGGTAATAAATGCTGGCCTAGCCAGTGGCAGCCAAATCCCGTGAATGAATAAAAAGAACTCAAAACTTGGCAGCCAATTTTCACAGCAAACTTCCACAATTGGCAACATGACAGTTTCCAGATAATCTGTTTTTGCAATGTTGATTACGGGATAAATACTTGTCAGGACACCAGGATGTAACTCATTTACTCTTTTACAAAGTAGTCCAATGGGATCTTTCATTTCCACCTGAAAAGGCAAGCAGGTCCTCGGCTTAAAGGCCAGTCAAAACACAGCACTTCCAGTCTGAATCATTCCCTGAATACAGCAAAGAAATGTCAGGCCTGGATTTTGTTGTGCACAAATTGACAAATTTGAGTGGGATATGATATGTGGATTTGCAGTTAGGCTGAGCAAACTAGAGCAGACGTAAAATCATTAAATTTTTAAAATTCAATCGTGGGATGTGGGTGCCACTGGCTGGCCAGCATTTATTGCCCTTCACTAGTTGCCCTTGAGAATGTGATGGTGAGCTGCCTTCTTGAACTGCTGCAGTCCACGTGCTGTGAGTTGACCCACAATGACCGAGGGAATTACATGATTTTGACCCAGTGAAGTGAAGGAATGGTGATATATTTCCGAGTCAGGATGGTGGGCGGCTTGAAGGGAACTTGCACGTGGTGGTGTTCCCATGTATCTGCTGCCCTTGTCCTTTTACATGGAAACTTTCGTGAGTTTAGAAGGTGCTGTCAAAGGATCTCTGGTGAATTTCTGCAGTGCATCTTGTAGATACAACATACTACTACTACTGAGCATCGGTGGAGGGAGGGGTTGTTAGTCAATGTGGTGCCAATCAAGCAGGCTGGTTTGTCCTGAATGGCATCAAGCTTCTTGTTAGAGCTGCACTCATCCAAGCAAGTGGGAGCCAGGTGGTGAGTTACTTGCGGCAGTTTTTCTAGTGTCTGGCTAGCCCTTGTAGCCAGTGTTTATGTGGGGAATTCAGTTGAGTTTCTGGTCAATGGTAACTCCAAGATGTTGATAGTGCGGGATTCAGTGATGGCAACTGAATGTTAAGGGGATGGGGATAGATTGCCTCTTACTGGAGATGATCATTGCTTGGCATTTGTGTGGCATAAATGTTACTTGAGACTTGTCAGCCCAGGTCTGGATATTGTCAAGATCTTGATGCATTTTAATGTGGACTCCTTCCTTAATGAAGGAGTCACGCATAGTGTATGAACATTATGCAATCATTGGTGAACATCCCCACTTCTGGCCTGATTAACAAATTGAAAATTCTTTCTTAACATCTTCAACTATTCTTAACACCACCCTTCTTGCAACACAGTTCTTTATTTTAGGGAAGTTTGTTCCCTATTTTTTTCCGCTCTGTCCGTTTTCATTTCATAAGCTGTGTCACTCAAAGAAAAAAATACAAAATGTGCCGATGAGTACAAAAATCTTACTACTGTCATGAAGTACAAATTGGCATCCAAGTCCTTGCCTAAAAGGCTAGCTCATTCAAATCATTTTGCAAATAAAGGCCAGAATGGTTTTTCTGTCATATCATTACAACATCCTGACATTTTTAAGCAGCACATTAATTTTTATTTAGATGAATCCTATGTTTTGTGGTAAAATGTGAGACCACCACTGAGGTACAAAATACGTCAGGTGAAATGAAGAGATGGTTGTAAACTTTAAAAGGACAGAGTTCAAGCTAACAATAAACCTTTCTAATTACTACTTCTCACCACTTTGGGAAAAGGTCCTTTCATAGTAAGATGCTTACAATGATTTGTCAATGCATTGTTTTTGATTCTTTTGGCTCATTCACTTCATATTTAGCAAGAAAAAAATCAGTTATTTTTATTGTTTTCAAATTCTTCCACAGCCCTCCCTATTTCAAATTGCCTCCATCTCTACAACTGTATCAAATATCTGTACTCTTCTGAATCTGGCATCTTGAAGTTCCCTATTATAACTGATCCACTACTGGTGTCCAGTTGCTAATGTCCTGGAATTTCTTCCCTATGTACCTGTCTCACTATCTTCGTCTCTATCCTTTGGACATTTCCCAAAATCTACTTGTCTGAACATGCTAATAGCTATCCCCAAAGTCTCCTTTATAGAATTCCAACAGTGTGGAAACAGGCCCTTTGGCCCAACAAGTCCACACCGAGCCTCAGAGCATCTCACCCAGACCCATCCCCCTATAACCCACCTAATCTACACATCCCTGAACACTATGGGCAATTTAACATGGCCAATCCACCTAGCCTGCATATCTTTGGACTGTGAGAGGAAGCCAGAGCACCCGGAGGAAACACACGCAGACACGGAGAGAATGTGCAAACTCCACACAGACAGTCATCCGAGGATGGAATCGAACCCAAGTTGCTGGTGCTGTGGGGCAGCAGTGCCAACGACTGAGCCACCGTGCTGCCCTTTGTGAGACTAATCATTTGGCATCAAAAAAAGGATAAATCCTTCTGGAACTTAGTATCAAATTTCACCCCGAAACCCCCCATGATATGCCTTGGCACATTTTATGTTAAAGATGCTTAAGTAATACAAGCTGAGGTTCATTTCTATGCTGGGAAAGTAAGATTCTATAGTAGATTTGCAGAAATAGATAATTATCCGGACACTATTCATGAAGTACTTCAACCAATTATTTTCTATTCATTCAGCAAAAAAAACATAAAAACTATCACTTTGATGATGAAATACTAGACATATGTTTCACAAATATGAAAATCCCAACAGATGTAGAAGTGCTGCAGCTGGAAGTCACGTCTGCACGCTAGGTCTTTTTTTTTCCCCTTGATTTTGAGCATGATTCCAGCATTCATTCTTTTATGCAGTTCTACTGCGTTTTAATTACAGGCCACCTATTTTTGCAAATTGTATCTCCCCCACTATTTAATACATTTTAAACAGTGGCTTCATTTCAAAAGTACTTAGTTGGCTGTACAGTACTTTGCGACATCTGGTGATTGTAAAAATACAAGATAAAATGTATTTTCACAATATTCATAATTTCATTAACACAAGTTTCATCTTGATGGCCATTTCATAAAAGTGGGGTCTCAAAAGATTATTTCTGGATTAGCCCAGTTTTGAAAATTCTGCTATTTGGTTTGCACCATTTCAAACAAAGTCATTTCAAATTTATCAAATACAATGAGATCAAAAGTGATTTTGTACAAACCCGTATCAACTGATAGTGCTGCTTGTAAAATCACCTACATAGTTAAATTAGAAAAAAAATGGGCATTTTACGGTTTGACTTTTAGCGACAAGTAATGTTTAAAAATAAAAAGGTGAAGGCTGACAATCAGAAACAAAAACAGCAGTTTCTGTTTTTGTTTCTGATATTAAAATAATCTTCGACAATAACTGGAAATGCATAACAGTACACACTATGTGCAAAAAAAAAGGCATAGTTAAAGCATACCACACCTTCATCCTGGCACAAAAACAAACTGTGTTCTTTTTACAAATTGAAATGCAAAGATCTGTCTTTTTTTTTCCCGTGGAAAATGTTATAAGACTAATCCAAATTTGGGGTGCACACTGACATTTGGCACACAGAGACATGATCCACTGTTGCGACTGTAACAATTCCCCTGAGACGTCCGTAACCAGGAACAGCTGACGAAGCGGTGATCGCCCCGAGTAGGTACTGACCGTCTTCTTCCGCCGTGGCGGCGGGAGATGCAGACTGCGCCTCGTCCTTGCGGCCATCTCCCGCGGCGTTCAGCTGCCACTTGCCATGCTGCGGCGTCGGGGGCTGCTCTGGTTGCATGGCCCGCGGACCGAAGCTCCTCTGCTCTTCTCGCCGTTGCCGTCTGACTGGCTGACGGCAGTCTACAAGGTCGCACAGTCAGGCCCCGCCCCTCGGGAGCTGGCCTCACCTCGCTACGCTCCGATTGGTGCAAGGGCCGCACCGCAGCGTTCTAACGCTCCCCGTTACGCTTAACGGGTGGGGACCTAACGGTCGGTGGAGCCGCCAGCGACGAAACTCATCGGTCGGCTTTTTAGCACTCGTCCTCCGCCTACTGAGTTCTTTGGATCAAAAAGATGTATTATTTTAATTATATTCGACCAAATTCCGTTTGCGCCCTTGGAGCAGGACCGAACGGGGGGAGGGGTGTGTGCGTGCGAGGGCGCGAGTGAATGAAGGTGATGGTTGTTAATGTACTGGTTCTAACGGCCGACAGTTCGGACTGTTGGGCGCGCGATTGTCGAACGCTAGGCACCTGTCGGCGCGCATGCCGCGCCATTCCCGCCCCGCCTCTAGTCCGTAACTATTGGTTGCCTCTGAACGGAAACCTCACCCCCAACCTGGACTCTGTTTCTATTGGCCGGCACCGTCTTGGCCCGCCCACCGCCTACCACCCTGCTTCTATTGGCAGGCGGCCGGGGGCCGCGTTCCGTTGCGCGTGAACATGGAGCTGCAATCGGGGAAGGTGGAAGCAGCAAGGCGCCCGCAGGCCCCGCCGCGGACTGACTTCGCCTCGTCCCCTTTCGTTGCCGTTCAGCCGACTAGGAAAGCGGCTGTCAGGACGGAGCCGGCGATTTGCTCTGCTGCTGCCGCAGCTGCCGTCGTTGGAGGTGGTAGCGGCGCCGTGCCGGCCTATTGCGGCAACAGAGCGGGTGGCGACACGGCCACTTTCATCGGGAGTGTGCCGGTCACCGTCTCCTTGGAGAATTTTGATGGTCAGCACAGGTACGGGGTTTGGTCACTGCACCTATATAGCGTATACTAGCACAGAAACTGGCCTCTTCAGCCCAACTAGTCTGAGCTGGTGTTAATTGCTTTACATTCGATCTATCCTCACCACGTCTTTATGATTTGACAGAGAGCAGAGAGTCAATGATTGAGGGGTCAACAAGTTCATAAACATCGGGCAGAGAGATGTTTCAGGTAACTGGGCCATCCAGGTGAGATAGAAGCCGGTTCAGCTTTGACTGCTGAGATTTGGATTCAGCAACTAAAACATTTGCATTTGTTCAACAACTTGTGTTTTATGAAGTTTTTATTCATTCATGGGGTGTGGGTAGTGCTGGCTGGGACAGCATTTATTGCCCATCCCTGGTTTCTGTTGAGAAGGTGGTGGTAAGCTGTCTTCTTGAACCACTGCAGTCCATTAGCTGTATATATATCCACAATGCTGTTAGGGACGAAGTTCCAAGATTTTGACCCAATGACGTGGAAGGAATGGCAAAACATTTCAAAGTCAGGATGATGTTTGGCTTGGAAGTGGACATACTCCCATGCAATGCTGTTGTCTTTTTTGATGTTAGTAATCACGAATTTCAAAAATGCTTTCTGTAGAGCCTTGGTGATTTTCTGCAGTGTGCCTTCAGGAGGGGCTTTGTCCTGATTGGCATCAGACCTCTTGAGTGTTGTTGGAACCGCACTTATCTAGGCAACTTGTGCCTTGTAGCTATTGAACAGTCTTTGGGGAGTCAGAAGGCAAGTTACCTGTTGCACGATTCCTAGCTTCTGACCTGATCTTGTAGCCATTTAAATAAATATATGGCTTATCCAGTTCTGTTTCAGGTCAATGGTAACCACCATGGTGGGGTTTCAGTAATTGTAATGCCATTGAATGTCAAGGGGCAGTGGTTAGATTCTATTTTGCTGAAGATGGTTGTTGCTGGGCACTTCTGTGATGTGAATTTTACTTGCGGCTTATCAGTCTAAACCTGATATCATTCAGATCTTGCTATATCTGTACATGGACTGCTTTAGTATCTGAGGAGTTGCAAATGGTGTTGAACGTTTTGCAGTCATCAGCAAACATCTCTACTGCTGACCTTATGATAAGAGGAAAATCGTCGAAGCGGCTAAAGATCATTGCCCCAAGGAAGGCTTTTGGACTCCTCTTGCATAAATTGCAAAAACCTGGAATACAATTTTAGCAGATAATAGGGATGGCAAATGGAATGTTGAACTTTTTTTTGCAAGAAATGGAGTATAAAAATAAGGAGAATTTGTTAAAGCTACACAAGGTGCTAGTCAAATCTCAACTAGAATGCTGTAAATACATTTGAGTACCTTATCTGGAAAGATATACTGGCATTGGAGACAGTTCAGAGAAGTTTCACCACGTTGATAGGTATGAAGGAACTGGGGTTGAGTGTTTGGGTCTGTTTTTATTGGAGTTTAGATGAATGAGAAGTTATCTTACTGAAATATACAGGATTCTTGGTGGACTTGACAGGATAAACATGGAAAGCTTGTTTCATCTTTTGGAAAGTGTTGCCCTTTTTAAGACCAAGATGGAGAGGAAATTCTTCTGTCAAAGGGTAGTGAATCTGTCGAATTCTTTATCATAGAGGGCTGTAAAGCCTAGTTTGTTATGTGTATTCCGGTCTCAGATAGAATTTTAATCAGTTGGGGAATCGAGGGTTATGAGGAAAAGGCAGGAAATTAGATAAAGGTTTATCCAATCAGCCATGATCTAATTAAATGGCAGAGCAGACTCAATGAGTCTGAATACTCCTATGTTTTGATGTTGCTACTACAAGGAACTCCTGCAGAGATGTCCTAGAGCTAAGACAACTGACCTTTAACAACCACAGCCATCTTCCTTTGTGCGAGGTTTGACTCCAACAACTGATTCACATTGACTCTTGTTTTCCTACAACTCCTTGATGCCACCCACACTTGGTCAAATGCGGTCTAGATTCAGGGCAGTCACACTCACTTCAGCTTCTTTGTTCATAATTGGGCAAAGTTTATAAGGAGATCAGGAGGTGAGTGGCATGGGGGATCCCAAACTGAGTGTCAATGGCTGTAAAGTTAGACACTTCCTTTATTTCTTCAATTTTCTGCCTTTATATTATATATTTTGTTACTTTTCTGTAGTTTAAGATGGCACCTGAGAGTGGCGTCACTAAACAACATTTTACACTATATTTTGTAACAAGACGTACGTGACAATAAATAAATAAATCGAATCAAATGAGTGAGTAGGTCATTGCAAACCCAGTGCTGCTTGATAGCATTGATGTGCTGAGCTCTCCCACTATGGACCACCATTCGTGACTACATGTGGTAGGACCGCAGAACTTAAATACGATCTGTCAGTTAGGAAATTTCTTAGCTCTGTGACTTGCTGCTTATGTTGTTTGTCATGTCTGTTGTCTATTTTGTAGCTTCACTAGATTGAGGCTTTATTTTTAGTTTTACCTCGTGCTGCTCCTGACTTGGCCTCCAGCACTCCTCACTAAATGAGGTTTGGACCTCTGGTAGTAAGAGTGTGGCTATGCCAGGCCATAAGGTTGCAGATTATGTTGGAGCACAATTCAATTGCTGCTGATGGTGCAGTCTTGAGATATTAGATCTCCTTGAAAATGTCTGTTTGAACTTGCCATGCCAAGATCTGGTGCGTGTACGATGTCTGCCATGCAGTAATTCTCCCAGCCATCAACAGCAGCAAAGCTTGTTCTCACTAACACAGTTTCATACAATAGCGGCTAGTTGAATTAGTGATCACATTATATCTGAAATCGTTCACACATTAATCTCCAAGTTTACTGTATCCCAAGCAAGGATTAAAATGAAAACCTGTTGTTTGACTTTGAAATAGAAAATTGATGTATATGAAAGACTGGAAAAGAGTGAAAGTTGCAGTGTGCTTTTGTGGACTCAATGTTGGTTCATCAATGATCTATGACATTAAAGTGGAAAGCTTAGAGTTCTTCGTGAAATCTGTGAGTGATAAAGCGTAAAATGGCATTGTACACCTCAACTTGCATACTTGGATCATGCATTTTAGGAATGTTTTTTGGTAGAGGTTAGAAGGTGCATGTACTTCTGAACCAGTACTAGTGGAAAAGGTGAAAGAATTTTGAAATGATATAAATCACCGAGCTGTGTGTCTTTTCTCAAGAATGGCTCATTTGCTTTAAGATATGGCATGGAATCCAAAAGATTGATGTATCAGAAACAGATATCTGCAGGTGTAAAATCAGCTGAAGATTATTGTGAAAATTTAAATAAACTTGAGTAAATGTGACGAGCAAATCTATAATGCTGATGAGGTGGCGTCAGTGTGGCAGTCCCTTCCCAACGCAACTTGATGAAAAGCACAAGCAGCTTTTTCAGCAAAATTAAGACTGTGTGATCATGCTTGTGTGTGTGAATGCTATAGGAGTGCATAAGGTGAAATTGATTATTGGAAATTATGCAAGACCAAGATGTTTCAAAGCTTTATTCATATTCCTATTGATTACAAAGCCCATGGTAATGCTTGGATGGATGTGGAAATTTCCACTTGGTAGTTTCATCATAGTTTTATGCCTTCTGTGAAAGAATATTTGTGAAAGAAAGGAATACCTGAAGATGGCAAGTTGAGCTTTTATTAGATAATTGTTGTGCACATCCTCATTCCTATCCCCACCACTGCTGCCACCACCAGCACGGAAAACTTGTTAAAGGTGATAGCTTTGTGTTTTCTCCCTCCTAATGTGACAAGTTTGACTCAGCCAATGATGAGGGTACGATCCAAAATTTGAAAATGTGTTTCCCACATGATTTTGTGAGAAAACTGACAAACCATGAAGGGAAAATTCACAAATTTTAGTCCAAGTGCTGTAGCAAAGATACCATTTGTAGCATGTTTTGTGCGTGGAACCAGGTGAAAGGTGACACCCTTTGGAAGTGCTGGCACAACCTATGGCCTCTTGTCACTTTTGAATAATGATGCATAATGAGGAAGTTTTTGAAGGATTTTGTGTATGAAAAAGCAAGCAAATGAAAACTGAGACAAAAGCATGGCATTGTTTAACTGTTACTGCTGTAAATCCAGTGAAAAATATTTCCAGAGATGAACATGATGCATAGCTGGATGTTGACAAGGATGCTGCTGTTAAATGACATGAAGAAATTCTAGACTATTTTGAATTGTCACAAACCTAAAATTCAAGAAGAGGAAAGTGATGACAAAGGGAGCAAGTTTAGAGTTTCACTGGTAGACTGCTGCTCAAGAATTTGAAAATAACCTGAATCTTGTTGAACATCAAAACTGCTTTACTGCACAAACTGTGATGCAGTTTTATCTTCTTCATTCCCAACTTTATTCAAGAGGGCTACTAGATCTAAATCCCTATCACCTCAGCCCTTGGCATCAGATGCTGCTCAAGGTGCAGCTGCTAGTTCTGTTGATGACCCTGATGAAATAATTATCAGCGTTTCCAGAACCCAGTGAGTAAATTGCACTGTTCTTTTGACATTTCAATTGAAGATTTTTTTTAGTCAAAGCCAGAGAGTACTGGTATTGAGTTTTTGTAGGAGTATTTCTTATGCAATTGGCAGATTCATGTAACTGGCACACTCTATTCACCATCCATGTCAGATTGCTGGGAGTTTATGATAATCTGTGATTTTGATTAGAGATATTGTGGTTCTATGGTAAGGGCAGAAATCTTCTTGGAAGAATTCAGACATGCAGCTCTGAGAAAGATGAGAATGGATTTTGTAGATGACTGTATATTCCAGGCGATGGCAGTTTGCAAGAACTGTAGGGTGATTTTCTTTTCAAAGCAGATGTAATAGCAAGGTAGATAATACCTGAAGACAGCCAATACTGTTAATGGTTTTCTATCATAAGGACCAGGAGATGCAGGCAGGAATGAAACTGGAGAAAGGTGAGAAGTCCGGTTCAGGGTAAAGTACACTTTAAAGATGGCACTTTTTATTGACACTAAGGACAGAAG